TAGTATCCCTGCCAATCCAACACAGTAGACACTTCCGACAGTACTGGCTGCAGTATCTGGCTAATAAAGGCTTGTAAGCCAGGATTAAATTATGCTTGGATTTGGAGAGCCGTTTCCAAAGAACAAGGACAATCAAAATCCCTTGGAATAGCTTCCACTCTGCACTAGCCTTACCATTTCATTACATCATAAACTAACACGGAGAGACGTTTGTAGTTAACATAGCATACTTCTGTTTGCTTTATACAAATGTTTTAATTCAGTGTATCTGGTTAAATCAGAAGCAATTCGCAAGCAAATAGATTTGAATATATCTCTATTATGTATATCTCAATCTCTGCTGCTTCTGACAAATCTATGATAACTGTACTTCAAAGCTACATTTCTATCCTTTCAGTTGAGTCATAAAACTTAAGGCTTAAGTAGTGGTTTAAGAACTAACTAATGGGGTCACTGGGGTGCAGAAGGACCCACAGTATTTTAAAATAAAGTACAATTTTAACTAATTTTCTCACCTCCAAATGGTTTGTCGCTATTGTCCATCGCAGACAATAGGAATCACACAACTACAAGTTGCTACACTTTGAGGCACTGAATAGGATTTGCTAAATGAAAGGGGTGGCGTTTAATATTTTGTAGCAGGGCCCCAAGCCTTAGTGGCCCCCAGAGAGTAGCACAACTGACTCTATGATGGAAGTACCGTTCAGGCCACAAAACGCAGCACATACAGTACCACTGGCCAAGAGAAAGACAAAGACCCAGTCCATCAAAGTCCATAGCTCTGGGAAAGTCTCTAAATGGACTACTTGCGTTTTGGCTTCTTCCATTCTGTTTCTAACTGTTCTTGCTAACTGAAGTGTGTCAACCTGAACGTAGTTTTGGTGCTTAAAAGCTCACTCTAAGAAAGGCTCAGGCTGCACTGGGATCCTGAGCACCCAGTGTAGACACTGACCAGCTAATAAAGGCTTTCTTGGTTCAAACCCATGTCTAAGCAGTGTTCTCTGATGAATATCCGCAAGAATTTTCCTGCTTTTTTTCCATTTTTTAATTTAAATTAGAAACAATCCCAGTTTTCTCTCCCTCTCCTCCTCCCCTGCCCCCCACCGATCTCCTGTCCCATCCCCTTTCTGCTCCCAGGTTGGAGCAGATACCCTTCTGCAGGGAAGGATACCCTTCCATGGGGTATCATCAAAGTCTGTCACATCATTTGGAGTAGGGCCTAGGTCCTCCCCTACGTGTCTAGGCTGAGAGAGTATCCCTCTATGTGGATTGGGCTCCCAAAGTCCATTCATGTACTAGGGATAAATACTGATCCACTACCAGAGGTCCCATGGATTAACTAGAACTCCAAACTGACATCCTGGTTTAGGGGGTCTGAAACAGTCCTATGCTGGTTTCCCAGCTATTGGTCTGGGGTCTATGAGCTCTCCTTTGTTCAGGTCAGCTGTTTCTGTGGGTTTCTCCAGCCTGGTCTTGACCCCTTTGCTCATTACTCCTCCCTCTCTGCATCTTGATTTCAGAGTTCAGCTCAGTGTTTAGCTGTGGGTGTCTGCTTCTGCTTCCATCAGTTACTGGATGAAGGCTCTAGGATGGCATATAAGGTAGTCATCAATCTCATTATCGGAGAAGAGAATTTAAGGTAGCCTCTCCACTATTGCTTAGATTATTTGTTGGGGTCAACCTTGTATATCTTTGGACATTTCCCTAGTGCCAGATTTCTCTTTACCTATAATGGCCCCCTCTATTATGGTATCTCTTTTTTTGCTCTTCTCTATTCTTCCAGACTCAATCTTCCTGCTCTCTCATGTCCTCCTCTCCCCTCCTACCCTTCTCTTTCTCCTAACTGCCTCTCCCCTCCCCCATGCTCCCAATTATCAGGAGATCTTGTCCCTTTCCACTTAACAGGGGGACCATATGTGTCTGTCTCTCTTAGGGTCCTCCTTGTTTCCTAGCTTCTCTGGCGGTGTGGTTTGTAGGCTGGCACTCCTTTGTTCTATGTCTAAAATCCATATATGAGTGAGTATATACAATTTTTGTTTTTTTGTGACTGGGTTACCTCACTCAGAATGGTTACTTTTAGTTCCATCCATTTGCCTACGATTCCATTTTTCCCCCCTGCGGAGTAGTACTCCATTGTGTAAATGTACCACATTTTCTCCATTCATTCTTCAGTTGAAGGGTATCTGGGTTCTGCAAGAATTTTAAGATACATTTTCATTTGCTTTTTTTTTTTTATCACGTTTTGTCATTGATCTATAGTGAACAGATACGAAGCAATTTTGATCAAGATTTTGGGGTTTGGCTAGGACTCAGAAACTATTTCTATTTTCCTTTCTGAGCTGCAAAATTTATGAGAAAAAATAGGACAAATATTTGAGATTAATATAATGTAGCTCCATTTTGATTAACATAAGTTTTGGTTTCTAACTACAAACAATTAAAAAGAGGAGTAGTTGTATTTAAGACTGTTGGAGAACCCAGAGTAGAAGGGAATTATACAAAGAATGCTATCTAAATACATTGATCTTCTATTACTGGGCTCATTTACAGTGCACTTATCTATAACACCTTCCTCCTGAAAACTAGAAACATCAAATTCAGCAAATTTAGCCAGATGCCTAGTTGGAAGCTTATAACCCATTATCTTGAATGGTTGCTAGGCTGTACTCGGTTAATAATGCATATGAGCAGTTGGTGTTCCCAAACAACTCGGCAAGAAATAGGAGCAAAAATTTATCTCTAATAATTGATTACAGGTCTGTTTTGCCTACCCACAAAACTTATTATAAATAAAAATTGGAAAACACCAAAGATTCAGAGATAACCCAGAAATGAGAACATGTGGTTGGTGTGACTGTGTGTGAGAAGGAAGTTCAGGTCTTCTGTGTGGAGGCATTCTGGGTGGCCAAAACCTCAAGCACACACTTTCATGTTGAACTCAGTTTGTGATTGAAAGGTGTCCCGAGAGTTGTTCAGGCATTCTGCAGAGTTGGAGGATGAAAGCAACATTCTCCTTCGTGTCGTGATTAGTGTACTGAGACTCCAGGACTTCAAGTTTCCTGAGCAGAGGAAATATCTTCCTGGCAAGTTGTTCCTAGTCACTTGGTAGTTAGTAGACAAGTCCAGAAGTCATCTGAAGTGAGCAAGGACACCTATATCTTTATTCAAGCCAGGTTTTTCCTCTTCACCAGGGAATCAGGAGTTTTAAAAAGCCAATTATGCCAATTCTTTTTTTTTTTTTTTTTTTGTTTTTTTGTTTTTTTTTTTTTTCGAGACAGGGTTTCTCTGTGGATTTGGAGGCTGTCCTGGAACTCGCTTGGTAGTCCAGGCTGGTCTCGAATTCAGAGAGAGATCTGCCTGCCTCTGCCTCCAGAGTGCTGGGATTAAAGGCGTGCGCCACCAATGCCCGGCAATTATGCCAATTCTATTCAAACACTGTAGACATTCATTTGTAAATAATGCTTTAATAGTTCCTTAATAATCATCAGGTCCCTTCCTGATGTTTTATACATTTTTCTCATCTACTCTTTACAATAACCACATAGGACGGATGTTATTTTCAAATATCCATACACTGAAAAAAAAAGACAATTCTATCTTAAAGATTATTACTTGTCCAAAGTTATAAAATTAGTTTACTCACCTCAGTGTCTTTGCCTAGTGGGCTTCAGTTTCTCTACCGATAAACTTAGGCTGTTTCTTCTTGAAACATCCCTTTTACCCGAACTGGTTGAGCAAATTACTTCAGTAAGTAGACTTCTAATAAAGGCCAGTTGATGAAGATGTCTGGCACATAAGCACATTGGCAAGTCCTTCACTATTCACAGACACCCATCAAGGCATTCACTATACATCATTCACTATTCACACACACCCATCAGCTGATGCCTGTGGCAAAATTGCCTTTTTCTTTTAATTTTCCAGAGAGGGTTTTTTGGTGTAACAGCCCTGACTGTCTGGAACTTGCTCTGTAGTCAAGGCTGGCCTCAAACTCACGGAGATATGCCTGTTTCTGCCTCCCAAGTGCTGGGCTTAAAGCTGTGCATCACCACCACTGGGTGAATTGATTTAATGTTGTACATGAAAATCTAGTCATGCTATTATTTGGATGTTAAGGGGTGCTTGGCTAACATCTTGCCTCTTTTAGGTAGGCTCTGGATATAAGCATCAGTTTACGCACTCTACAAACACACCTTCCCCTCCTCGTTGCTCCCCATATGATGTCACACTTCATCAGAAGTCCATTTCCAGACACAGCCCACGACGAAGCCGAACCGCGAGTCAAAGACAAAATGCCTTTCTTTATAACTAAAAAAAGTTCCTGCTACCTGTTCAGAAATTCCTGTGAAATATTTGAGGGCTTAGAGTCATTCATTACTTTCATGTCGCAGTCTACTCTCTCCGAGGCTGCCCATGACCTTTTATGTCCGAAATGAAGTTCTCTAAGCTCAATTTCGTATTACATTCACACTTTAAAGCCACATTTTTGACATCTAGTATCCTTAGGATTTACAAGTTTTAAATAAACCAATTGAAACTTACTTAAAAAGAAAATTTTCCTGCAGTAGAGAGCAAAAGACGCATTTCTTCAAATGAGAATAACATAACTATATTCCAAAAGGTCATATAGTTAGTTTAGCTTAGATATCATATGCGGGGTTATATCCTTAGTTATATTTAAACAAAACAGAGTTCTTTGCTCAAATGGGAGGGAGGATGTAGGAAATGGGGAGGAGGAGTGTCGATATTTGAACAGTAGGGTCCCCTTATCGTTCATCTACTCAGTAGTAGTAGTATTTAGAGGGAGGTTGCTATGGTAGGGAAAGCACAAGGCTGAAAGTTAGGCGTGAGTTATACAAATCACAGCCTTCGACTATGGATGAGCGAAGACCCTCCCCCATCACTTTCTGTAGCTTGGTCCCTCCTTTTCTGAGGTGTAATAATCCCTCACCTAAGACCTCTTCTTTGCGCACCACTCCGCCTTCGGAAAGAACTACATTCCCCACAATGCCCCGCGCGGCACCAGGCATGCTCTCCCCCGCCTCTAGCAGCTTTTCCTCCGGTCTTCCTACAACTCCCACAAGACCCCTCGGCCCAGGCTCGTCTTGGCCCGGCTTAGGGTGGAGGCGGAGGCGGAGGCGCGGGAGTTATGGAGGGGGCGGGCTCTGCAGGGAAGTGCGTCAGAGGAGGCGCGGGGAGAGTAGGGTGCTGTGGTCGGAGCTGGAGGGCGAAGCCGGTGGAGTGAGAGGATGGGCGGTGAGTGCGCGGGGTCGCGGGCCGGCACGGGTCGCGGCGTGGGGAGAGGGTCCCTCGCTGGCGCGGCCCGGCCGGGAAGCTGGAGTGACGGGCGGGGCGGGGAGGGGCGGGGCTCTGGGCCAGGAGGGCCGGGGCTGGCTGGGTTCGGGTACCCGGGCACCTGCCCAGCCCAGCCGGCCTCAGCCTGCCCGTGCCAGGCCCCGCTGTGCCACAGGCCCAGGGTGACCGCGTAGGCGCAGCTTCCAGAGCCCGGCCTTTAAGGTCATCCGAGAGCACCGGGATGGGAGAGATTTGAAAATCAAAACACAAACCGCAGTTAACTGAGTTATTGTTCGTTCTTGCAATCGCCCCGGGCTTTCCGGAACCACTTCCTTTTTCCAAACTCTGCTCCCCAGTTTGTGAGCCTGTTGTCGGGTGCTTCTGTGAGGGGTTCGAGGCGGTCCCGGTGTACATACACTTGGCAGGGGTTGACTCAGCGTGATCCGCCTTGAGTCATTTTGCCGCGGCCATATACTACTGCCGTGGAGCCCTGTCCACGCCTAGGGTGTGTTCAGATTTTGCCTAACTCACGTTTCTGTTTGCGAGTAGGGAGCATTTAGTTTCTATGGATACATGCTATACTTTAGGATTTAGGGAGCATGGTTGCTGTTCGCGAGGTTGAGAAATGTAAGGGATGGGGAGAGTAAGGAGTGAAGAAGCTGGCTGTGTAAGGAAGCTTGGCTTAGCTTCAACTGGATTGGGGGAGATTGATACCTCCCAATAGCGCTGTTATTGGTCTCTTTACTGTGGCATACGCTTAAAACAAACTTTCCCTTTGGGCTAACACCTTCAGCCCTGATTTTCAAATAACTCCTCACTCCTGCCCTTATTTTGGAAGCCTTCCCACCAAAGAGCAGATGGTTCCTAGCTTCCCTTTCTTGAGTCTTTTTCTCACCCAAACCCTAAATACTTAACATTTTGTAGCATGAATCTGTAAAAATTCAACCTGCAGTTAACGTGTGCACGCTACACTGCTGATCATGGGCATGTCTGTTGTTTGTATCTGTAATGTGTATGTCCATTTCAGTGTTGTCTGTTTTAGTATGCAGGTGATAGACTAGAGACCAAGACTTCTGTCTCCGTAGCGTCCTGGGTATGTGAGCATTCAATAAGTACTTTGATGAGAATGAGTTTTGTTTTAAACTTATTGTTTGCCTTTTTTTTTGTTTGTAAATTTTTAAATGATAAGTGCACTTTTGAAGGGATGGGGAATAGGGTGAAGGGTGGTTTTGAGGTTTAAAGAAAATACCGTTTTTCTCTTGAGGTCTAACTTCTCCGCTCTCTTCGACTTAAACAGAGCAGTCTGAATGCCAGAATGGATAACCGTTTCGCTACAGCATTTGTGATTGCGTGTGTGCTTAGCCTCATTTCCACCATCTACATGGCCGCCTCGATAGGCACAGACTTCTGGTATGAATATCGAAGTCCTGTTCAAGAAAATTCAAGCGATTCCAATAAAATGGCCTGGGACGACTTCCTTGGCGATGAGGCAGACGAAAAGACTTATAATGATGCGCTGTTCCGATACAATGGCACAATGGGATTGTGGAGACGCTGTATCACCATACCCAAAAACACATACTGGTATGCTCCACCAGAAAGGACAGGTAGTCTTCGTTTCCGTTTCTCTTTCCTTTACCACTTAATAATGATTACTCAGTGATGCATAAGCAGGTTTGTGGATGCCATAAGAAATTTTCTGTGTTTGTTTCTCTTCCTACCATTTTCTTTCAACTTCTGTGCAGTTCTGTTGTCCTCACTGATAGCAGTTGGATCAATAATTTCCTAATCTTGGGAAAGCCATTCGACTCCTCATACTTATTTACTAATTAGAATACGTTTACTCATTTCACCTGTCATGGGGAATTAGTTTGGATATTTTAAACATTTGATAATTTGTGGAAGAAGTGGTATTAAAAATCAAGCCAACTAATGTGAGTTGATTATCCTTCTACAATTAGCTATGTTAGCCAGGTGGTGGTGGTGTACACCTTTAATCCCAGCACCTGGAGGCAGAGGCAGGCAGATCTCTGAGTTTGAGACCATCCTGGTTTGCAAAATGAGATCTGAGACAGCCAGGGCTACGAAGAGAAACCCTGTCTCACAAAACCAAATCAAGCAATTAGCTATGTTATGGTAGGTTTCTATGATTTGCCTTATATTTTAGAGGACATAATTTGACCAACTCTGCCTTTAAATCTGAGTGTATTTGAGACTTGCACAACTATAAAGAGTTAATAAACTAAAAGATACTACAGGAAAAAAAAACTAAGTTTTTTCTCAGATTTATTCAAACATTCTTATGAATGCAAATACTTTAATTTACAGGTATCAAATTGGAAATCTTAGCATTCTTCATAAAAACAGCTTATAGTTTCTATTTGCTTCTTTTGACTTCTTAGTAGGGAAGCGTTGTATTCACATCATAGCAGAACACACTTGAGTTACCATATATTAAAGGATGGTATTATACCATATATGAAAAATAGAAGTAATGTGCAAAAAAGGCACAGCCAGTGTTTATTGTAAAACCTCCAGTTGTACTTAGAGAGCACAGAAGCATGTAATAAGGTGACAGTGGGACAGTTCACGCAGGACACTGGATTTTCTGAACATCTTGCAGACTGTAGAGAGCCATTGAGAGGAAGAGGAAAGACCTGACCCGGTCATTCTGGTTGATGTCTGTACACATGGGCAGAATGTAGGGGTGTCAGCTTGGGATTGGCTAGGAGGCTGTTGTAATTCAGGTAAGAGGTCGTTGTGAATCAGACCAGCAGGGTAGCACTGGGTCATAACTGGATCTAGTAAATATCTTGAAGGAAGCTGGGTTAGGATTTTCTGCTGTAATCTATATGGACAAGAATGATGGAAATTAAAAAAAAAAAAAGAATGACTGAAATTTCTTGTCCAAGAACCTAGAAAGGTTGACGTGTGTTACTCTTGAGGACTGTGGCTGGTATAATAAGTGTGGGGGTAGAAGATCAGAATTCTTCTGATTTTTGTGTTCCTGTCCATATTTCCTGGTCTCTAATATACCTACCTACTTCATTACTAACAAACCTTCTAACACACCTTTCATGCTACTCTTCCTCTTCTTCTCTTCCTTGTGTCTCAATCCTGAGGCTGACAGTGAGGCTCAGAGGTGGCAGCAGAGAAACCTGTGTGTCACTGGGGAACACACATCATGTGTGTCTTGGGGAGTGTCTTTCTGCATCACCTTTTATTTCAAAAGACAATTCCTGAAAGAGATTGTTAAGGCATGTTTTTCATGAAAATAACAGGCAGTGATTGTTCTTGTTCCAGAGTCATTTGACGTTGTTACAAAATGCATGAGTTTCACACTAAATGAACAGTTCATGGAGAAATATGTTGATCCTGGAAACCACAATAGTGGAATTGATCTGCTTCGGACCTGTGAGTACTTGGCTGTCAGCAGGACAGTTGGGAGAAGAATCTGTGTTTGGTTGAACTCTGCTTTTGGAATGTTAGTACATGGTGTCGACATTAAGTACCTTACCCAGCAGCTTTCCAGTAATCTCTGTTCCATGGCTAATATTATTTGGAGGTCAGAAACATGCTTAACAAACTTCAAATAATTTGCAGTTGAGGAAGCTAAAATGGTGGAGGGTGGAGTTCACATCTCCAAAAGATGTTATTAGTGGGCCCAAATAAGGGGAAATTATTAGGCTAACAGAGTGAACTCTGGCATTTGAGCCACTCCCATTGCCTGAGCTCACATGAACATACCTATAGAAGTTGCTACAAGCTCTCAAAGGGCTCAGTGTCAGGCCTGTTGACAATACCCTTCCAATCCTAGGTAGTAGTAGCCAAAGAGTAGATGCCAAAACCAAACAGTGTCAAGCATTCCGTTCCTCGATGGTTAGACTGCCAATGAAATGCCATCTTTGGATTTGAGCTACAGTTTTTAGGATACTAGTATTAAAGGAATCAGTGAAGTAACTGCCGTTATTCAACTTTGCAGTGAGAAGGAGAGGAAGAAGTGGATTGGGAGCAGAATATTAGGGGACACATAATATTTGGAAATAAAGACTTACAAAATGAGTAAAAAGGGGAATTTAAGAGACTCAGCTGCCACTGAGTGTCGGATACACTCCATGTCCTCCGTGTCCTTATTTGTAACCATCCTTTGTTTACTCTATCACCTGCCTTTGATCATGCAGAGACTCACACTCTGTGTCTCTATAGAAGGAAACTGTTTTACTTCAAATCTTGGTTCTTCACTTTTCTTCATGTGTATAAGCTACTAATACCTCTGGTCTCAATTCCTTCCGTTACAAAAAGACAGATAATAGTAGCTCAATAGTGTAAGATGTTGGGAGGAGTAATCCAAGCACTTGCATAGCAAGCATTGCGTGGCACATGCTAACCCTTTGGTAACTTAACTGATAGTGGCCCTTTATTTGTTTCATGATAAAGTTGGCCTCCTTTTGAATAATAAGGCCTTGGTAGTAAAATACTTGTTTCTCACTTTCCGAGAAAAGCTCTAGTTAATCCTTTAGAATATGAAAGATATTGCCGTTGTAGAAAAGTGGTCTGAAATCATTTTTTTTTCTCCTTTTAAAAACTAGACCTTTGGCGCTGCCAGTTCCTTTTACCTTTTGTCAGCTTGGGTCTGATGTGCTTCGGGGCTTTGATTGGACTCTGTGCCTGTGTCTGCCGCAGCCTGTATCCCACCATTGCCACGGGCATCCTCCATCTCCTTGCAGGTGGGTTAGTCAGTCCTTTTGATTCCTCTGTCCTCTTACGGTCAGAATTGTGACCTGTGGACCGCCACACACCATTGCACTGTCACACTGTGTGAGAAGCAGTCACATTTTGATTTCTAACTTTCTTCTGAAGGTCTGTGTACACTGGGCTCTGTAAGTTGTTATGTTGCCGGCATTGAATTACTACATCAGAAACTGGGGCTGCCTGAGAATGTATCCGGAGAATTTGGATGGTCTTTCTGCCTGGCCTGCGTCTCAGCTCCCTTACAGTTCATGGCGTCTGCTCTCTTCATCTGGGCTGCCCACACCAACCGGAAAGAGTACACCTTAATGAAGGCCTATCGAGTGGCATGAAGGGGCAGCTGCCTGCTTGACAATTGACGTTTTTAATTTTTTTTTTTTTTTACTATTGAGGTTTTCCCTTGTCTTCCTCTCAATTGTCTTTAATTTTGATTTTTGAGGATATGCCATTTTATCCTAAAAGTCCCTTTTATTTATATACAGTGCCACTAAATACACATAAATACCACTTAAAATGTATGTGGCTTATTTTGAGTGGCTCAGTCTTTTTACCAAACTGATCTAGGTTCAGAATTCAGACAGAAAGAACTGTACAGATGTGAACCTACTTTGTGAGAACATTGGCAGTGGAAAATTGACCCAGAACAGGGCCTGCTGATGTCTGCTAAATCCAGTAGTGTAGTGACTTTTTATGTGTTGAACTAGAAACTAATTTCCATATGAGATCTATTATCACAGTCAAAACTTTATGTTTAATTTCCTGTTGTTGATACCAGTCAGCTAGTAGTACCAGTGTTCCTAAAGATGTATGCACATAAAATTGGGAAATTATTTTTAGCATCCTTGTCCCTAAACTTTGGTACATTGCTTCATTCATCTGACATAAAATATGGCAGCTGTTTATACTGTGATTGTCTACAAGAAAAAAAAGTGAAAAATGATGTTTACTTGAAATTGTAACTTTTAACTGCAAAGTTTCAATTCAATGAGAGAAGCTGATTAATCTTACTACATTATATTAATTTTTTTAAAAAACTGAAACTCATTAGGATTTTCAGTGCCACCAAACCATTGTGACTCTCTGCTGCTTCCCCCTCCACACGCCAGGCTTATTAAACGAGTGCTTCCTTTTTAACAGCATTAGAAGAATCACAGTCCATTCCCCAACCACTTTGTTCCAGCTAAGTACTAAATGGGAGGTCCTACCAACAGTGACCCCCAGAACTGGGGGTTCCACCACCACAAGATCTAAAGCTGTGGCTACTCACTAACTTCCAACTGTAGTCTTTATTTCTTGTGGTGAAATGATGTGCCTTTCCGTGCCCAAATCCCTTCCTGGTGTGTATCAGCATTATTTAATGTCTTCTAATTCAGTCATCTTTTTTATAATATGTCTGTAAACATTTAAAAATCTTATTTATTTACTCCATTACTGTAGAACTTCACAGATTTAAAAAAAAATGTAACTCAGTAATTTCTTACCAAATCCTAAATCTGTCTTTTTTAAAAAAATAAAAAAAGAGAAATGTGTAGAGTGTGTAAATTGTTTTAGGTCTCAACATGTTGAGCTAAAAACTGGGGATCTTCGTGGACCCCTGTGGGAGACTAGTTATTCATGTGTTTGGGTCTGTGTATTAGCTACTTTTTGTTGTGGTGATAAAACCATGACCAAAGCATCTTTGGGAAGAAAGTTCATTTTGGCTTACAGTCAGAGGCAGAGTCCATAATGGCAGAAGGCTGCTGGAGCAGGCGCCTGAGAAATCACACCTTCAGCTGCAAACAGCAAACACAGAGGGAGAATTAAATGAAAGTGAGGCAGAGATGTAACTGAGAGTCCACCCAATCATAGCATTTCCTCCAGCAGGCACCAGCCCCTAGAGGTTTCCCCAAACAGCAGCCGGGACCAAGTGTCTATTGAGGAAACTGGGAGGTCCTTTCCTCAGTAGAAAACCAAGTGTCTTCAATGAAACATCGCTTCAATAGAAATGATCGCTTCATATTATACTTAAGGTGCCTGTTTTTTCCTAAGAAGTCATTTAATGAGTGGATATTTGTGTTCTGGGAGGAGAGAATTCAGCCATTGGATTACCAGTGCTCCTCTTATATTTGTGTTCTGCATTAATAAAATGTCAACTTCTGCATTTATTACTTTGGCTAGTTGCTTCTGAAGTAGCTCATTACTGGAGTTTCTGCCCACCTTTGAAAAACGTTATGGTGCTGGGCATTAAGGCCTTGTGTATCCTGTGTGAGCCAGCATTGAGCTACATCCACATCTATGCACAACTCTGTTTATTTTTCTGATTTTTTTTTTTGACACAAGAGTAGGCCAACCTGGACTTGAATCCATCATTTAGCCAAACCTGACTTTGAACTCCTGATCCTGCTGCCACTGCCTCCCAGATTATACATAGGGTATTCAACATCATACATACCCAATTTATTTCTGTATTTTTTAAAGCCAAATTTAAGGATAACCATGAAAGCACTAAAACTTCCTGGAATAGGAAAATAATTCTAGAATTTACTTGTTCAGGTAACCCTGTGTGCTTTCTATTTTTATGATAGCACATTAGTCTCAATAATGGTATATGTGTGGTTAGGAACTAGTCACACATGAACTCATTTAAGTTACATGACAGAAGAGTGACCTGACTGTACACCAAATTGCAGTGTTTTCATTTTACCAACACCGAATTTCATACTACTACTGTTAAAATTTATATCTGTCTGGGGCCAGCCAGAACGCTCAGCGGGTTAAAACTCTTGCTCTGTGCACAAGTCTCATGACCTGGTTCAATCCCCGGAACCCATGATGTAAGAGAAGATCTGACTCCCCCAAATTGTCCCCTATCACTGCCCCGAGTGTCATGGCACATGAACTCCTACACTCAATGTATCACACACATATGTACATAGAAAAAATAAATTTTAAAACTTCCATACAACTGACTAAAAGATAACATGAGAGCGTCTCAATGCTAAATCTTCATGTAAACTTACAATTCAAGTGTGAACTTCTTTACATTTTCGGGTTGCAAAACGTCTCTTTGGAGCCTCCTAGCTACTTAGCTCTGAAGGTATGAACTGGTATTTTATAGGTAGGATACAGCTCTGTCCTGAGAGATGGGCGGGGCCTTTTGTCTCAGCTCTCATAAGGGAATAATGACTCAGAATGAGTGAAGCACAGGGATATATTTATGTGTAGAAATTCTTTTTCTTTTGTTCACATGTTCTAATGAGATGATTTTCTCTTAGGTCAAATTACAGCTAAGTGCCAGTGTCCTGTGCATTCATTATGTAATGATGAATGATGAAAATCTTACATTCCAAAAAGAATAACAATGGTTATTTACCTTAGAGAAGTTATCATAGTCATTAACCTCAGTATCACCTTTTTTGCTCTTCAGGGGATTAATAGATTTATGTGACATAGAAACATTTACATAGTCTCAGCCAACTTTTAGAAAGCAAGATTCAGCTTATATTACATTATTGTTGAAGAGGTTTAGAAATAGGAAATAGAGCCTATTTGCTTTGTGTTCTCTTTTAAGTTGTTTGCATTACTGAATAATTTGTCGCCTTTTATCTGCTGACTCAGTCAGTGTTGGTGGCTCAGGGTGTGGACTTCACCTCACCTGTCTTGCAGCTTTTGGATTCTTCCCAACTGAACAGCCTTCTGTTCTCTTTATTTTAGCTTGTCCTATGTTTGCAAACACCAGTGATCCTCATGTTGCCTGCCTTTACTGTCCATTACTTGTTTCCTAGATTCTGCCTTTTCTGAATCCTTCTCAAAATACCCAAGATGCCTGCTCAAAAACCTAGAGCTTATTTATTCAAAGAAGTTAGACTGACTTAACTGCTTGATAAATACAGAGTAATACAGAATATTGATTTATTACTCTGTAATGCTCATTTCCCAAACTCTTTTTTTGTAAAGTTTTTGTAAAGTTTTTGTAAAGTTTTTCTTCTTAGCTTCCATGAAAGGAATTTATGTGATTCTTAAGGAATGCTGGGATGAACTCTCTGAGTATCTATGGCCCTTTTTGACCCTATGGAAGAAAGAAGGTATTTTACAGAAGCAATTGCTGGGCCAGGGCATCCCCTGGGGCAGCATGATGCATCTGGAGTTTGCAACTCCGGAGACAGAATGGTAAATTTGAAGTCTTTGGTCTACCTCAGCCTGTCCAAGCCCTACTTTTCACACCTGTGATATTCTATGACTAAGCCCTACTTTTCACACCTGTGATATTCTATGACTAACATATCTACTTCAGAGTTCTAGTGATGATTATGTGAATTGCCCAGCATAAAGTAGTCACTCAAAATGCTAATTATGACTGGTTGTATTATGAGGTAACCAAGCTTACAAAGTCGTTCTCTGCCTAGATTGCACATTGTAATTTCCTAGACAACTTTGGGGAGCTGGAGAGATGGCTCAGCAGTTCAGAGTGTGTAATGCTCTTCCAGAGGGCCAGAATTGGTTCACAGCACAAATGGCTGAAGGCCCACAAGAATGTGTTTTACATGAATAACTCTCTCCCTCCCTCCAGAGGATCCAGCAGTTTCTTCTGGCTTCCACAGGCACCTGTGCTCACATGCGTACACCCCCACACAGACACATATGCATGCACAAAAGTTTACAAAAGTTGCTTTTGCTCCACACAATCCCATTTAGTTGATCTTGGAGTGTTTAGTTTATTGTGACTTTTTAAACTTTTAAAAGTGAATTCAGTAGGCAACGATGTTAGGAAAGTATTTAAAAGTAAGAAATACAGGGCTGGAGAGGGTCCGTGGCTAAGAACATGTGCTACTCTTTCAGAACATCCTGGTTCTGTTCCCAGTACCCAGGTTGGCAGGCTCACAACTAACTACCTGTACCATCAGTTTCTGGGGATCAGAACTGTCTTCTGGCTTCCGTAGGGACTGCACCCACTGTGCACAAATGCAATTAAAATTACAAAAATTAGCACACACCTTTAATCCCAGGACTTGGGAGGCAGAGGCAGGAGGATCTCTGGTCTATGAAAGTTAGTTCCAGAACAGCCTCCAAAGTCACAAAGCCACAGACAGAGAAACCCTGTCTCGAACCCCCCCTAAAAAAAAAAAAACCCAAAAAACAAAAAAAAAAAAAAAAAAAACAAAACAAAAATAGTACCTAAAAAGTAAAAAAAAAAACAAAACAAAAAAAAACCAAAAAAAAAACCAATAATGTGGTTTTTTGTTTTGTTTTTTTTGATTTTTTGTTTTTGTGGCAAGTTCTTAGAGACAGTGAAGTAAACAAAGTACATAGTTGTGCTTTCCTGGAAGCTACACCTTTGTTTCCAGAATTGTCTTAAGTTGCTGACTCATTGACCCTTTGAAGCTGCTTTAATCCACCACACTGATGCAGCGAGGACAAACATTAGGGTTAAAAGGATGTTAGTACTAAAAGTGTGAGGTCTGGTCAAGAACAGCATTGATAAGAAATAAAAGGGCTTGCATTTGGGTGTGAGATCACCAAGTTGAGCAGATTTGAGAGCAGGGAAAGGACCTTGGGGTAACAGTTCCAGCTGCCTTTGCTGCCCTCAGCCCACCTGAGAAACACAGGAAAGCTCTGTTATCTTTTCACAGATTTTTAAATATATGTACATCTATTTATTTGTTTTGCATCCAGGCCACAGCCCCTCCCCCCAGCCCATTCTCCTGTGTTCCTGACCCCCAATCCACTCCTCCTCCATTTCTGTTCAGGAAAGGACAGGTTTCCCATGAGTATCAACAAAACACAGACTATCAAATTGCAGTAATATTAAGTACCTCCCTGTGTATTAAGGCTGGGCAAGGTGACCCAATATGAGGAGTAAGGTCCCAAAAATTTACAAACGAGTCAGAGACAGCCCCTGCTTCCACTGTTAAGAGTCCCACAAATAGACTCAGCCACACAACTCTCACATAGATGCAGAGTGCCTAGGTCATTCCCATGCAAGCTGATTGCGTGTGGGTTCAGTCTTTGAGCCCCTATGAGCCCAGGTTAGTTGTTACTGTGAATTTTCTTGTGGTGTCCTTGATTCTAATGCAGCAGACTAAACTGTGTACTTTGTGATGGGCTGAATTATAAGGAGTTTCTAAGAGTCTCCACCTAGTCCAGCATCCCAGACTACCCCATGAATGAGCCAAATGAGAGGCAATTCAGGAAACTGCAGACCACTCTGGGTAGCTGTGGCAGTGTGTCGTTTGCTGCAGTGGGGAAACTACAAACTGGCCACATGAGTCTGAGAACACAGAACATCATTTGATAAACAGCTAACAGGACACCTGCAATACTGGCAATAACACCAGCCCGAACTGATGGGGAGCAGTCCATCACGGTCATCAGATGACAAAGCAGTAGTCAGAGAGGGACAGGAGGGGCCTTAAGCTATGCCCAGCTGGGCGAGCAACATGCTAGGAACCCATAATCATAGAGTTCGTGACCTCCTAATTTTCTTGACCTAAGAAAAGCTCAGAGAACTAACCAATTTGTATAAATGACCTCAGTTGTGGTCTCATTTCTTGCATAGATATATAAAAAGGGCTCTGGATAAACAGCCCAGCCAGTGCCAGTGCAGTCCCCTCCTAGAGGAGCACTGCGGTTTCCCCACTCGGGGACCCTTCATAACTCTAGGAGTTTCTCTCCCTTCCTTAATTCTCCTAGATAACGCTGCTTGCTTTTGCTTTGCTTACCCCCGTGTCTGTGTGTCCTTGATCACTGATGGGACAGTGAACTCAAGGACCATTGGCTCAGGTTGACCTACATTTACCAGTCACCGTTGAGTAGCTCTGGGCTGTGAAATGCTTTGTTGTTCCTAAAGAACCACATCAGCACCACTTGTGCTTGGGGACAAGGGTGGGGAATGTCTGTAACCCAGTACGCTTCAGTGGTGGGGGTCAAGATTGACATTTAGCAGGAGGTAGAAGGAAGTCCTGCGTGTTTTGGCTTCAGTTCCAAATTAAAGCCTCCCTAGGAGGGGCGCTCCAAGACCCCTCCAGTTGATTTCTGAAATGTGTGCACCAGGTGCTACGTATACTGTATTGTACCCTAATACACACCTATGGTAAAGTTCGGTTTAAAAACTAGGTAAGGTGAGACATTGAATTGTACCTATTTATAAGAAATTATAGTGTTCCTG